AGGCGGGGGGACTGGGTCGACGAGTCGCTAGCCTGTTCTCCACCGGTTGCTGAAGGGGATCATCCAAAATAATCGGTGAAAAACAGGCTGGCGCCGACCAAAACCAGCACCCTGACACTTCTCAGTGTCTACAGCAAGGAAAACTGTACATGATGCCGCGCCACAGCCATCTCCTATTTCTGTTCAGGCAGGCCTGTTACCAACCGGCTGACCCGTGGAAACTAAGATCGAAATCAACCTGATAGTGTCACGGAGTCAGTTTCATGGCCTATATTCGCATCATTTCTCAACTCTACCGTGGGAGCATTCAAATGTTGGAACAAACACAGAAAATTTCTCACCTGTACCACAACAAACCACCGAACTCTGCGGGTCGGGCTTCCACTACATTACTGATAAGAGCCTGAGCACGAGCTGCGAACTCGACATTCGTCTCTCGCGGTAGCCGAGTCAAAGGCGCTAAAAACACAGTTATCACTTCGAGTATTCATGAAAGGAAGGGTATTTATAGAGATTTGGAGCTTACGCAGGTAGGTGATATCCACGGGAGTAGCCCAGCTGCACATAACCCTAACAAGGTACCAGCTGAATGCGTCCTCATGCCAAAAGGCATCGCCAAACCGACTGTCCTGCCTGAAATCCGTTCGACTTGGGGAGAAAAGAACGTTGAAATACCGTAACCAGAAATTTAGTCTTACTTGATAGCTATCGGATAGATCTTGATTCCTTCTTCGAATATTGCCTTTCTAAACTGTAGAACTTGTGTGTTATTGGAGCAATAGCCTTCGGGAAAAAGCAGGACCGGACCACCAAACTGAAACCACAGTTCAAGTAATATTCCTGACAAAACAAAGAGAAACAATAACTCTAGGAGAGAGCCTCTAGAAGGACTCCTGCAGACCAAGGATCAACATCACCCGTGTAAAAGAGATATTAAGTTCTTCCACCAACTACATAGCTCTCTCTTCACAACCATTATTCCATCACGAGATATTACGAGACAAAAGTCATTATTCCATTACGGTAATTCTACTTTTACAGAAGAAATCCTACAAATGCTCCCTATAGAAATGCTGTTGAAGATGTACCTTCGCCTTTTTGATGACTTCAGCTAGAAACTCTTTTCGTCCGTTGGCGCTTTTTCTCTTCCACCCAGAACGTTGCGCTGAATTTATCGGCAAAAGCTTGGAGAGTGCCTGAAAATGTTACGAAATAGACCGCAATAGTACTTCCTTAGTATTCCACATGTTTCGCCCCAAGGTGGTGTTTTGAATTTTATTTTGAATTCTTTAATTCATTCAATTCAAATCACAGGGCGACTGTGAGGAAGGCGGCGTAGAGACAAGTGGGGCCAAGTGCACGGTATGGGAATGCCAATCTCGGATCGACTCCCATCCCAGCCAACCAAGCCTTCCTCCTTCCGGGGTCGGTTAATTGTCACCAGATCTAATCGTAACTATACAAACTGACTATTATGATATGTATCTTTACCAGCTAGTATCGTGTAGGGCAACTGAATTTGAAACACCACTTAGATTCCGAAGGGAAGCATGCATGGTGTCATTCAAGAAAGGGCGCATCAGCTCCAGAAGCTCAATTTCTTCAACTGCTGCGGCTTCAAAAGCGATCCGTACACTCACCTCCGAACGGAGTCCTTTCCACATGCGATGTGAATGGGTCTGCAGCTACGGTAGCGCACAATTCTTTTCCGCTCGTATTGGCACGGGGACTGG